GGTGTGTACCTGTGACGTTAGGTTTAGAGTCAGGTGTGTACCTGTGACGTTAGGTTTAGAGTCAGGTGTGTACCTGTGAGGTTAGGCAGACCTTCAGCTGTTCTGGTCCAGTGGACAAACCTGTAAACTGCAACAGAGTTTCTGCATCTTTGCTCCTGTCAGCAGTGTTTTTTACAGATTTGTGTTCAGTTTAAAGATGTATTTTGCCTACCGAGAAGCAAAGCAGACATTTTATTACAAAATTGACAGTTGTCATAGGATCAAATGAAATTGTTGACAGGTCAAATTAAAACTATTCGAAAACTAATTGAAATAAATGTTTACAGTATGTTTTTTTTTTTTTTTACTAAATCCAACAAATTTGACAGAGGCTCTCAATTACAGGTCAGCTGACTTGGATTTATGACTTGTTTCTTTGTACAGTGTCCTGGGATGACTTTCTTGTGAAATGGCTCAAGATTAATAAACTAATAATGTAAGTTTTTGTACTTTTGTAAAAAAAAAAATGTCATCTTATATTGATTCAAAGACAGCTATTAGTTGGACTTTAAATGTTTACTGTTTTAATGCTTACACAACTGCTGAAAAGTACTATTTATTGATATTTTGTCCCAGATAAACTAATCAATTTTTAAAAACTATATCAGTCTGCAATATTATTTATATTGCAGACTGAGATAGTTTTTAAAAATTGATTAAACTTAAAGGAGACACCTTACGGAAAAGGCACATTCATGCAGAAGATCATGGTTCTAATGAATGTGGGCGGAAACTGAATATTTGTGTTTTGAAACAAACTTCAGTTTTGTTGTTTCTCGTTAAATATAAAGCGATGTCAGCGTCCTGCAATTATGAAATCAAACTATCACCCTGTAGGCTGTCAAAAATATGCAAATGATTATATAGAAGAAAAAAAACTCTCAAAAGTAATACATAATTTTTTATTACGATTCAAAATGGCAGAAGATAATGCAGTTTTAATGTGTCCTTTTTTAAAAATTTAATTTAACTAAATTTAACCAAAAAGGGTAGTGAAACAACCTGGAGTGTATGGGAGCACTTGACTAATTCTAAGTAAGTACAAATAAAGAAAATAGATTCTAAGGATGTATCAGATGCCCTCTGAGGTCACAACAAAAAGTTAGGATTCATCAGGGATGTGTTCTCAGCTTCAATCGTAGAGATTCTCCTCGTTGGTTCTGGCTGGAATCCTGAGTCTGTCGAGGAGTCTGGCACTGGGCCTGAGGGGGTCCGCTCCACGCCGTTTACTGTCAGTCTGGGGGCGTCACGAGGACCCTCAGAGGTCACATGACTCATTTCTAAGCAGTCACATTACTCATCCCGTCCGATGCTGGTCCAGTGGGCCAGTTGCTGCTGCAGCCAAGCCGCAGAGAAGCTGGTGTTTGAGGGGAGTGGATCAGCTGTCAGATTTTCAGATCGTTCAGGTGCAGGTTGAGTGCTGCGTGGGCACATGTGGTGGGTTTGGACTGAGTTGGACCAGAGGAATGAGCAGAAAACCAAACAGGAAACATGGTTTTACCACAAAATGAAACAAACTTTATAGAATTATTTGAACTCGGGTCATCCAGTCGAGGACAAATCCAGGTATTCAGAGATTCATAATCAGTCAGATTTAATGTTTTGGTCTGAATAAAATGCTGTCTGTGTGAGGACGTCATGTGCTCGGATCAGATCTTCAGTTTAATCTGGATCATGCACGGAGAGGCAGGTGACGGTTTTTATTTGAACTGGAAGAGACTTGGACCCACAGCCTCAGCTAGCTGGGAAACACTTTTTTTTTCCTTCAGGCTAAAACTTCTGAAGGTTTTATTATGATTAAATTATGTCCGACTGCTCAGTATCCACGTGGACACAAAAATGAATGATCTAAAAGCAGAAATCTATCTGACAAACAAAGTTTATGACCTGAACTGCCTGTGGATTGATTTCTTTACAAATGTTTTTATGTTCTTGTTGTTTAGTTTGCAGCATTTTCACTGACTGTTTTTACTTTGAAAGTGCTATATATGTTGTTAGAAAATTAGAGGAAATAGTTTTTCATCTTTACAAATGAGCTGCTCTCTTTAAAGTAGTTTTTATTTTTCTTGCCTCAGTTCAACATCTAACAAATGATTCCTTTCTTGTCTTGAGAGAAATACTTGAACGGTTGCCCGCAGCTCACTGTGTGGTTTTGTTTGGGTCATGCTAACCTGCAGCCTGCATGGCTGATTTGTTCTGCAGAATCCAAACGTCTGGCTCCTTATGGCTGTGTATGATGAGAACATCCTGAGGAATCCTTTCTTCTTGGCTCTGGAGAAGCAGAGACCGGACCTCTGCAGCCGAGCAGCAGAGCTCCAGGGCATCGTGAGTCATGTGTCCGTTCCGCTTTTTAATGTCCTACACTTGACTTGTTGTTCGCGACCAGTCTGCATGAATCAAGATTTCTCTCCAGCTTATTAAGCAGTTGTACAACGTGGGCCTTTCTGGTTGACGTGACTTTAGTAAGATAAAGTCTTTGTACATATCGGTAAGAAAATCAGAATTTCTGGTCTGGGATTGGGGGTCAGTAAGTTTAATTTTTGCTTTTAATAACAGCAACAAATTTAATAAATGCATAATGACGCACTGCAAAAATCGGCCATCTAAAAATAAGTTTAAAAAGAATAGATTATAGTCTGAATCTTCTCAAATGAAGTGAAATAACCTAACAGTGCAGTAAGACAACTGCACTTCGCACAGCTTCTCAAACCAAGAAAAATTTCTAAGATAAGATTAACAATCTGACATACTCTGCTCTTTCTTAGTGTATCAAACTCAAAACAAGAGTAAACAAGAATATGACTGTTTTTGCGGTGTGTAAGTTGTAAATTTTAGTCCATACATTTATTCTCTTTCATTTGTTTTGGAGTTGGGTCAAGGGTTAAGAGTCACCTCGATCTCCTCTCCACGGGCATGGCTTTAAGCATTTCTTATTGATTCATCTCATTTCTGACTGACACGTCAGAAATGAACAGGTATACTAGGAGATTTTGGATAAAATGGCCACCCATGGTTATATGCACAGTTATAAACAGCGCCGTGTCCAATTTAAATTAATGAAGTCCAATAAAATTGCAACTGATAATGCACCCGCAAAAACGGTTGAAGTTAGACTTGACAATGGAAAAGAGGCTTATAAACTCTTCTGCATGTCCAGGGTCTTCCTCTGGGTCTCCTCCCAGTCGAACATGCCTGAAGCACCTCCCTGTGGAGGCGTCCAGGAGGTATTCTTACCACATGAACCACCTCAACTGTCTCCTCTCGCTGTGGAGGAGCAACAGCTCTACTCTGAGTCTCTCCTGGAAAACTGAATATCTCACCCTGTCTACCCTGCAGAGAAAACTCAAAAGGACCACTTATAGCCATGATCTCATTCTTTATCTCTACCCAAATTGAGGGCTGGATCGTAGGCCGACCTGTAAACTGAGAGCTAAACATTACAGCCTAGCTTTCTCTTCACCACAGTAGACCGGCACAGCATCCACAATACTGCAGAGTAGGGGTGGACAGATAAATCAGCTGGCTGTTTTATTGATGAAAAAGATAGGCTCCTCGGTTTCCTCCACAAAGGTCTGAATATCAGCCATTGTTCCCATTTGCTCTGCTGTGAAAACTACCTAAAGTCCAGTTAAAGCAAGTTTGTATTGTTTCAAAGGTATTGTTCAATGTTTTTCAATAAAATAAGATTGGAAACTAAAATCGGTACACCACTACTGCAGAGGCAGCACCTAATGTTAGCATTACATAATGCTTGTTATTTCAACAACTGTGTAAGGAAACCAGCAGATATTCAATGAATAAGTTTCGTGTAATGGATACATTTGAATGAAACATTTACTGGTAATTGTTTGTTTTGTCTGGTGTAAAACCCACAGGTCCTGGTTCCTTGTTGTGGAAGTCTGAGTGTCGGCAGCTTTTCAGACTCTCACTTTGACAGCTACGTCTTACAGCCTGTGGAGGACAGATACAAGACTCTGAATGGAAAGGTTGGTCCCTCGCTGCAGAAAGCTCTGCTACTTCTGGATGGTTAGCAGAGATCATTAGCCACAGGATGGCTTTGACCTGACATTAAAGTGTATCTCTCTCCCCACCCACCCGTGAAAAGATAACTCCGCCCCAAGGCGAAATTTGAAAAATGC